GTGTTTCTCTGGTTATTGTTATTTGTAATAATAAAATAATGTGTAGAATAGATCCGTGAAGTGTGAAATGATAGAAAGTCCTGGAGCAAAAGACATAAAAGAATAGGCGAAAGGACCACATGACAGGATAGAAAGGGTTAGTTGAAGATGGGTGTACAGGGGTGGTCTCTTACCTTTGTTTGGCCAATTAGGTTTAGCCAGGAGGAGTCTCTATGGTGGTCCGAGAGGGGGCGGAGGGTCAGCCAGTCAGTCCAGGGTTGCCACACGGTGAGATCACTTCCCACCCTCCCTCCCTTGTCACCGGTTTTTTGTTGCGGTCAAGTTCTCGGTTGTGGTGGTGTGGCGTCGTCTGTTAAGGCGAATTATGTCGGGCTGGTCGAGACTCCGGTAGGGCGCGTCCTTGGTACGCAGTCCTGGGAGCTTGCAGGTCCCGCGGAGAGAGGTCGAAGACTGAGGGTAGGAGTTCTCTGCGGTTTATGTACTATGTTGTCCCTGAGGCCCTGTTCACACTGAGCGATTTATCGCGCGGTAATTCCCGCGATACCGCGGCTATTTACAGCGCGATATCGCTCTCCAATGCCAGGCAATGGGGCAAAGGGTCCTGCTGTCGCGGGTCGTGCGTCGCTACAGCAGGACCCTTTTTGGAGCGGATTTTGGCGCGATTCCATTCTTTGCAATGCAAGCATTTGCGCGATATCGCGCGACATCGCGCAAAATGCAAATCGCGCGACAAACGCGCGATTTGCAAATCGCGTAGTGTGAATGGGGCCTAATCGGCGAGTTGCGGCTAGGGGCCAGTTGGTTAAGTGGTATGCAGAGCTGTACGGTAAGAGGCCAATGGTGTCTTCACAGACCTCAGCCACATTGATAGGAATCCATTGTCTTGAAACTGTTATGATTGAATGTTTTATATTCAATTCTGTTATAAAGTTATTATATATATATTAGGGCTGCGGAAATTAACGATTAATTTCTCGATTAACCGTTAAAATCAAGCGGCGGACATATTGGGTGGGGCACGTGAGATGAATAACGTGCTGGATGAGTGTGATCCTAGTTCATTGTATTACTTAATTGCTGTGCTGTATGTGTATAGGTCATTGCTGTGCTGTATGTGTATAGGTCATTGCTGTGCTGTATGTGTATAGGTCATTGCTGTGCTGTATGTGTATAGGCCATTGCTGTGCTGTATGTGTATAGGTCATTGCTGTGCTGTATGTGTATAGGCCAATGTAGTTGGATCTGTATGTGCGTTATAATTAATCAAAATGAATCGATTAATCGATTTAAAAAAATTTTGATTAGTCGAACATAAACATTTTAATCAGTACCAGCCCTAATTTAAATAAACGGCTGCTACAGCCATTTTTATATCCAACTTGGTGTGGTCTATTATTGGATACGGGCATTTAGAATGGGAAGGGGCTGTAGTAACCTATGTTTAGTCGTATAGCTTATGTCTTACCCTGTCATGACTCTGGGTGTCAGATACTCCGGGGGAAGCCACATTTTTTTATTCTTTTATTTATTCTTTTATCTACAACTCACTCATTACGTTAGCGTACCATGAACTGTAGATATAGCAGGGGTTTCCTGAGCGCTATAAAATTATTCCAAGGGTTCCTGAGTGGTAAAAGGTTTGAGTCAATTTGTAATGAAGAGTCACAATACATAGGGAACGATTTTCTTTATTTCGATCCAAAATGCCGGCTGATTGACATTCTCTGTCCGGAGAATTAGAAAACACAAGCGGCCTTGTAGTCGGCACAACAGTCACTGTAGCTGGCGCACGATGCATTACAATTGCACGGATATGTCTTCCCACTGGCACCGCAGCGCCCCAGACAGGATGAGAAATCTACCCCTGCGCAGTCACAGACTCCATTCCAGGAAAGGACTCCGCTAATCCCAAGACTAAAGCTGATCTTGTACATCTGGCCGGCGTATGATGCTGCGAGAAGGAGGAAGCATCCGTCATCTTAATAGAAACATTCGTATGACATGCAAGCTGCAGATGTATGCAAATTAATATTCTGATTCTGAATGTTCTCTGAAGAGTAAATGTGGGTTCTGGCGGACTGCGAGATCCATACAGGAGTAGAGCGGATTGGAGGTTGTAGGAAAGACCATCACCCTGCCTAGGTAATTCCTAAAGCTTAACTCCAGAAATGACAACCTCCAGCCCGTACTGGCTGCCGGTACTCACCGCTTCTGTCAGATGCTTCGGGTCCTTGAAGGGCCCTCACCGCTCTCACGTACAATGCAGGACCATCGATTTTTCATTGTACATAACGACAGCAACATGTGTTGGCCAACCGGAGCACCTTAAAGAAGACACTTTGAGGAGTAAGCCCAGGGATCCCAACCTGAAAGAAGCACTTTCAGGGAGGTGTCCCTCTCATTTCCGGGAGGTGCCCCCCCCCCCCATCCACGGAGGAGAGGTTATGGGGGCTGGGAGCACCCCCCTGAAATTATGGCAGATAGCACAGGAAGCAATAGCTTCTTTGCTATCTGCAAGCCTGTGTCAGGAACCGGGGGCCTCTGCTGTAGCTGGCGGTGGTTCTACCTGCTGATCCACCTTGGAACCTTGGAGAGCTCCTTGCCTGATCTCCTGTGTAATCCTCAGGTACACCTAGTTTCTGCTGAACTCTGAACTCCTTGCTCCTCCCTTGAACTTCCTATTTAAGCCGCACCCCTGCATTTCCTGTTTGCCAGATTATTGTGCTCCTGCCGTTATCTTGCTTCCTGCTCCCTCTATGATACAATCTTTGGCTGCTGATTCGCCGACTACTCTAACCGTCTTCCGCTTCCTACCTGATACCTTGGCTCCTGACCACGGCTTGTTCTCTGACTACGCTTCTGCTGCTCCTCCACTGCTACCGTCTGCTTGTGTACCGAACCCGGCCTATTATACCACCATTGCCTGCTGCTTCAGCTACTGGACTCTGAGCCTGAGCCCAGATCGTGACAGCCTGCCAGAGCAACGAATAAAGTAGGTATTACACCTTATTCCTCTACCCACTACACCTAGGGAGCATTTAAGCCTCCTTGTGCAGACGGAGGCCCACTGGAAGGGGTTTTTTTTACTATAATTCCCAGGGCTCAGCTTTGAGGCTGATGGCCTCAATGGTTTCCTCCAACTTTGTCCCAATCCAGTTTCCTCAAGCTTCCTCCACGCCATGTGACCGGTCCCTCAAAGCCTCTTCTCTAAGCTGCTTCGGCCAGCAGTTGCATGCTGATGTCATCAAGTACAATGCAGGACCAGCAGTCTCACATTGTACATGAGGACGGTGAGGGCCCACCCAAATCCCGGAGTGTTGGAAGCCTGCTGGAGCAAAGTCAGTATTATCGCCTATTGCTCTATTAGGAGGAGGCACTGGGAGCCGGAAGGGTGTTTTGTGTAATTCCTGGATTTGTTAGGGGGACATCACATGCACCCCACATAGCTGGGAGCACTTGGTGTTTTGAAACAGCTGATGTAGAGGAAGGAGCAGGAGCAATAGGTCTCTCAGAATCATCCAATGATTCTGATGAAGGGGGGCTTGCCCCAGAAACGCGTCAATCTTGGCTGACTGCGGCCGGTGGATGGTGATGTGACCGGAGGCTACCGTGTTACATAGTCGGGGTGATACCATGTTGGGATAACAGACAGTGTGGCCTCTCGTTTGTTGTTGAAGCGTGATGAAAACGTTTGCCTGTGAGTACATTTGTCCCTTGTTTTATTTATCCTAATAAACGATTTTACACCCGGAGGTGGCGCTCTGTTCCCTTTTTGTTTTCTATGTTCGTGGTGGAAGCCCCGGAGCCTTGGATGAGCCGCCCCTCAAGTCTGTGTGAAAAACTGTGATAAACTGTTGATAACTTTGAGTATGCAACAGCAAGTGGATCGTTCAGCTGGCAGCCATTAGCGTCAAGAGTTAAAGAAAACTTTTTGTGTGACCATTCTGCTGCCTTAACCATTGCCGACCTCTGCCTGAGCCTGACCATTCTGCTGCCTTAACCATTGCCGACCTCTGCCTGAGCCTGACCACTCTGCTGTCTTACCCATTGCTGACCGCTGCCTGGACCCAACCATTCTCTAGTGACTAGTCTTTCCCTGTTGTACTGTCTCCACAGCATAGCCTCTTAGTCCCCTGCTCATTCCCTGGTGGGGCGATCCTGAGGACCACGACCTGGTACCAGCAAACAGTGAAACCCATCAGGAGCTCTGGTGAAAACCTGCTGGTGCCTAGGACTTTGCACCTCGGGTAAGCCCGCATCACCACCAGGGGGGTGTTACCATAACACCTACTTAACCACACTCCCTTAAAAATGACGCCCTAATCTAATTCAATGTGTCCTGCTTAGATGTCCCTCTTCTATATTTCAAAAAGTTGGGAACTTAAACAGGACGCTTCCTCTAAATAATTCCAAGCAGCTGATTCTGTAATTGTTAGGCCTCATTCACACTGGAACCGGCCGGCACGTACAGCTCGGTGCTGCGTGCACGGCCGTATTGGGCAGCTCCGGGGAAGGACAGGTGCTGCGTACTAATCACACGCAGCTCCCGTCCTTCCCTATGGGAATACGCGGCCGTACGCCATCCTACGCTCACCCCAAGTGCAGGTCCGTACGGGTGTGGGTGTCCCA